TCTGGGTTCCTCCTCCCTCCCGTGTGCGTGGGGTGTGTGTGAGCACCCTGTTGCAACAGATCAATAAAGATCAGGCTTACTAGCTGCTTTGCTTCTCAATATTCTCTGTTATTTTCTCCTACCGATAGAGAACCTACATAAGGACTCTATACGGGCTCTTGGGTACCCCATAAGGGAAAAGGAGCAGTTTTTTTCTTGTAACATTGGCCAACAGCTTATCAGGCAGCACCAAGATTCTCACTAGTTTCTACTGCTCCCCAATGTACAAGAAACATTTTATCTATAATAAATCACAACAAGCAAAAAATGTGTCTGGTTTAGGGTGGAGTCATGTAATCACCCCTACCCTGCCTGTGGTGCAGTCAAAATTATTTGCTATTTGAGAAATCTTATTTTGACTGTGTACACACTCCTATTTACAGTATTCAGTTTCTAGTGAGTTGCTGCATAATTTTAGACACAGTCTGATGTCTGCTCTGTATGTATCTTGCACTTTTTTTTTTAACAAAGCACCACATTTTGATGTGTTTTCCCCAAAACCAGTTTCCACCCAAGTTGCTGGTTTAAACCGCAGCTAGGTTGTTCTTTTTTCTCAATTTGGATGGAAGCCTGCAGGTGCATTAATCATTACACAAAGTAAGTTACAGAGGAGGTTCTCACACTCATTGGGCCTCCTCCCATTCTTCAAACTATGTTCAGTGTCCCAACAAGGAAGAGCATGTTCATGCATAGAGCGTCTCTAATTACCTAAGACTGGCTTTACACCTTCATCAAAAGCTCGGGATGCATTATAATTCATATCCTAATCTCATTATTATCACAACATCCCTGCGAGTTAGGCTGTGGAGGCACGCGTCTAGTCCTAGGATCTGGGAGCTTAGGGATATCAGCTTGTATACCAGGTCTGGAAACAGGAAAGAATAAGAATAAAAACCATGCAGACCTTCAAGTGCTTCCTGAATAGAAGAGGGCCAGATCACATAGAATCAAAGAATTGTAGAGTTGGAAGGGACCCCAAGGATCATCTAGTCGAGCCCCCTGCAGTGCAGGAAACTCAGCTAAAGCATCCATGACAGGTAACCATCCAAAGGTTGTATAGTTGCTTATCTCCTTGGCTCGGAGATTGCATAACTTATGCATACCCTCCAACATTTCTCTGATGAAAATAGGGAAGACCGAAGAATTGATGCTTTTGAATTATGGTGCTGGAGGAGACTCTTGAGAGTCCCATGGACTGCAAGAAGATCAAACCTATCCATTCTGAAGGAAATCAGCCCTGAGTGCTCACTGGAAGGACAGATCCTGAAGCTGAGACTCCAGTACTCTGGCCATCTCATGAGAAGAGAAGACTCCCTGGAAAAGACCCTGATGTTGGGAAAGATGGAGGGCACAAGGAGAAGGGGACGACAGAGGACGAGATGGTTGGACAGTGTTCTCGAAGCTATGAACATGGGTTTGACCAAACTGCTGGAGGCAGTGGAAGACAGGAGTGCCTTGCGTGCTCTGGTCCATGGGGTCACGAAGAGTCAGACACGAAAAAACAACTAAACAACAACAGCAAAGCAGGGTCAGCAAACTTTTTCAGTAGGGGGCCAGTCCACTGTTCCTCAGACCTTGTGGGAGGCCGGACTATATTTGCCCCACAAATAACCCAGATATGCATTTTAAATAAAAAGGACACACTCTACTCATGTAAAAACACGCTGATTCTCAGACCATCCGCGGGCCGGATTTAGAAGGCAACTGGACTGGATCCGGCCCCCGGGCCTTACTTTGCCTACCCATGACCTAAAGAAAAGTGGGACATTCCAGGATCAAATCAGAAACCAGGACAGCTTGTGTGAATCCGGGACTGTCCCTGGAGAATAGGGACACTTGGAGGGTCTGAGATCTGTCAATTTTGGTTTCTCTCACTTTCTCAGTCTCTTCCAATCTTAACTTCAGTTTGCCAGATTTCTGCTTGAATTCCCTTAAAAAAAAAATTTGCTATCCTTGCTATCTAAATGCAGAACTGTTAGGTTAGGCTGTTTTCAGACTTAGCATTTGGTTGGGGGTTTTATTTTTACTGCTGGGGTTTTTAAGGCAGCTCTGGATTCAAATGCATTGTAAACGATACAGTATTCTGTACTAGCATAAATAGCACAAGAGAGTCCTGAAGGCAATTTAGGCTTTTCCCTAAGGTATCCTTCTCAAACCTGTTGCATGCCAGAAGGTTTGGATTGCAACTCCCATCACCTTGACTTTTGGTCAGGCTGGCTGGGGATGATGGGTGTTGTAGTCCAAAATGTTTGGAGGGCACTGGGCCGGGGAAAGCCATGTCATGCAAATAAAAGGTAAAGGTAAAGGGTCCAGTCGTGACCGACTCTGGGGTTGCGGCGTTCATCTCGCTTTATTGGCCGAGGGAGCCGGCGTTTGTCCGCAGACAGCTTCCGGGTCATGTGGCCAGCATGACTAAGCTGCTTCTGGCGAACCAGAGCAGCACACGGAAACGCCGTTTACCTTCCCGCTGGAGCGGTACCTATTTATCTACTTGCACTTTGTGCTTTCGAACTGCTAGGTTGGCAGGAGCAGGGACCGAGCAACGGGAGCTCACCCCGTCGCGGGAATTCGAACTGCCGACCTTCTGATCGGAAAGTCCTAGGCTCTGTTGTTTAACCCACAGCGCCACCTGTGTCCCTTGCAAATAGGTGCCCTTAATTCCCTTCTTGTATTCTGAATGGCACCATCCCAGGAGCACCGCCCTGTGTGATCCTTCAGGACATGGGTGTCAATCAACTCTAAATCCATAATCTCTCAATGGACAGAAATAACCACCTGGAGCAAATAGCTAAGGGCAGCTGCCAAAATTTAGATCAGGAACTGGCACAGGTAAATCAACAACACACTCAGTCTGCAGCCATATGCCATGCTCATCTAACCCTCTCTAGTAAAGATGACGTGCACACATTTCACTAGTTCTTCAGAATCACAGTCACCGAACACTTTTTTTTTTTTTGCCTTGTGCAATCTTACAAGTAACAAGATCAGGCCTTGGCCTCTTGCCAAACTCCTTATATCAGAGCCAGACTTCACCAGGACAAGCCAGAACAAATCTCAGCAATATGTGTTTGTTGAATGCACATCTGTGTCGCATTACTAAACACAGTAAAACCCGGCATGTAGCAAATGTGTTGCAAATATCCACAGGTTTCCTACTTCGGAAAGGCCGATTTTCAGAGTGCATCACCGGCCGATTTCAGAGTGCACACGCCAGACCTGACCAGATGGCCTTTGCCTTTTGCCAAGTGTGCACGGAAATTCTGGGGTTTCGGTTGTTGCCTGGGCCCTCCTTTGGAGTTGATGTTAAAGTTAGGGTGGCAGGAGGTAAAACAAGAGAGTAATGGGCAAGATGCCTTAGGAAACCCCAGGATGTTCTCATTGCATGATGTTTTGGCACTGTGGATCCCTGCAACTTACATGCATGGGACATCTATTACAGTGGTACCTCGGATTACATACACTTCAGGTTACATACACTTCAGGTTACAGACTCCGCTAACCCAGAAATATTACTTCGGGTTAAGAACTTTGCTTCAGGATGAGAACAGAAATCAGGCAGCGGCAGCACAGCGGCAGCACAGCGGCAGCAGGAGGCCCCATTAGCTAAAGTGCTTCAGGTTAAGAACAGTTTCAGGTTAAGAACAGACCTCCAGAACGAATTAAGTTCTTAACCTGAGGTACCACTGTATAAGGTTACCAGATTTTTTTCAATGAATCCTGGGACACTTTTCAACTTCCATGGATTCTGTATGGGGGCTGGTTTGTAAATCCAGGGACTTTTCCCGGGGAAACGGGGACGACTGGTAACCTTAATCTATTATGAGATGGTTCATCTGTGAAGAGTTGTAGCTCACTGGTATAGCGTCAAGCAGAAGGTCCCTGGTTCAGTTCCCAGCATCTCCAGGTGGATGTGGGAATAAATCCAGCCCGAAATCCTGGACAGCTGCTGTTCGCCAGTATAGGCTAATCTCATTCCACGTCTTTGTCCCACCATCACCAGCTCCCTTCCTTCCCTTCACCTTTTCTCTCTGGAATTGCCTCTCCTTCATCCCCCTAGTCCATATGTCCCAGGGCACATTTGGAAACCTAAGAAACTGGCATGGGCACCACAAAATACCCATTGCACAGAAGGAATCTGGAGTTACTGAGAAACTCCACCCCCCCCCAAAAAAAAAACCCCACCAAATTGCAAAACACCTATAAACACCCAAAACAAATAAAACACAAAACAGGCATTCCCCCACAACTAAACAACCCTCCCAAAAGACAAAAACAGGGGGGCAATATCTGGAGGGGCAGCAACCTTGGCAGGCACCAAGGAGACTATCAGAGAGTGCCATGGTGCCCACGGGCACTATGTTGGGGATCCCTATCCTACTCCACATCCTTCATCCTGCCCTCGTACATGTATTTGAAATAACCATGTCGTCTCCCCTGCCCTAGTTCCTTGCTCCCATTTCCCACCTCCTTTGTTGTTTCCTTGTGTATCTCATTTAGATTGTAAGCCCCTAGGGGCAGGGACCTGTCATACAGGTTCTGCGCAAACGGCCTCATGCATAAGATGGCACTCTAGATATTAACACAGGCATACGTTTAAGTTCCTGCCCCTTTGAGATTCTGCTTCAATTCCCCCATCAGTCTCTTTCGATTCACACCTGCGGCTGCGGCTGATCCTTCCTTGTCTTCGCCTTTCTCTATGGGCTCACCACGTATATGCAATCGTACGGAAAGAATATCCGATTTGCAATGGTTCCTGGAATTAATGACCCCGCCTGCTTTGAGTTCCACTAAGTGCCCCTACGCACGCTGAACTCGCGTCCACTAAAACCTCCGCCTTGGGGGCTCTGAAGGTCATTCGCCCTCTCCCTCTGGTGTGGGGGACCTGCCTGGAAGTTAACAGCAAGGAAACACAGCTGTCTCTCTTCATCAGCGGGCTGCTGGGTAGTTTATTTATTTATTACCTCCAATGGCTCCGGCGATGAAATCCATCTGCGCGGAGGGGAGCCAGCTGCCTTTGCTCGTCCCGATTAAAAATGCTTCAGCCTTGGTGCAGGAAAGCAGACCGGCTCCGTCTTTCCAGGAACGAGAGGCCCTTCTGGATGGATCTATAGTGGGGATGAGCAATAGGCTGAAGTTAGGAGCACCGGCTTCAAGGCATACGTAACCGAGAGCCGGCAGGAGGAGGCTGGGACTTTGAATCAGCCTCGGGAGTCCTGTCGATGCTGCAGAACTCCACAAGGCATGGCTGAACCACTGCCGGGGACAAGGCCCTCCCTCCTCCTGCCTTCTGCTCTCCAAATCACCAAGGGCAAAAGAGCGTTGCAGCTCAACTGGACAGGGGTCAATTTGCACTCGGGACATTAGGGTGTTAAAGTTCCTCTGCCGCACCGGGCAAATCTCTTGGCTTGGCAAGGAGCGACGATGCCCACCAAGCCTTGCTTCTCGTGCCAAGTGGTCATAGGCAATCAGGCCCTCCTCATCCAGGAACAGAGCATGAGAGCTGAGCGGTACAGCAAATGGTTTGAATGCATGAGGTTCCAAGGTCAGTGCCTGAGACCTGTAGTTTGAAGGATTTAGCGACGCCTGGAAAGAACTTTGCCTAAGACATCAAAACGTGGCTGCCAGTCAGACCAGAGGTAAAAGGTAAAGGTACCCCTGCCCGTACGGGCCAGTCTTGACAGACTCTGGGGTTGTGCGCTCATCTCACTCTAGAGGCCGGGGGCCAGCACTGTCCGCAGACACTTCCGGGTCATGTGGCCAGCGTGACAAAGCTACTCTGGCGAGCCAGAGCCGCACACGGAAACGCCGTTTACCTTCCCTGCTGGTAAGCGGTCCCTATTTAACTACTTGCACTCAAGGGTGCTTTCGAACTGCTAGGTTGGCAGGCGCTGGGACCGAGCAGCGGGAGCGCACCCCGCCGCGGGGATTCGAACCGCTGACCATACGATCGGCAAGTCCTAGGCGCTGAGGTTTTACCCACAGCGCCACCCACGTCCCCAGTCAGACCAGAGAGTACTGGGCAAAATCAGCCCACAGTCTGACTCTATAGGCAGGTTGAGAAGGCGCCTTTACTTTTGTATGCTCTAAACATGCACCCGAGGCCTCAAGCACGAGGCCTTTTGACTGCTCCTTCCACCACTCAAAAAGGGGGTTGTCACTGGAAATTAGAATATTTAGGACAAGTGTTCATAAGCTTTAAATATATGCTATATGCATATATTCATACACAGGATTTAAATGTCGTAGAATAATAATAATAATAATAAATTTTATTTATATCCCGCCCTCCCCAGCCGAAGCCGGGCTCAGGGCGGCTAACAACAATCAATAATCAAACAATCAAATAATCCAACATTCTAAAAACATTCCATTATAAAAATTAATTAAATTCAAATTGATGGCAACCGTTAAGCAAAATAAACAGATAAACAGTTTAGGTTAGCTTATTCATTAATATGTCATAATACTCAATAAACAATCAATAAGCCCAGATTATCCCAAATCCTCTTCCATTTACCACCCATTAATTTTCCCAACAGCTCGTTCTTCAAACCAATTAAATTCTCCTTCGATTACCCCCATTTGTTACCTCCCATATTTGCCACCAAGTACTAGATTTATGGGTAATCTTAAATTAATTTCCCCCTCCACGAATTAATAGCTTATCGTTGCTGTTTGGTGGCGGAGATGATTGCTGTTATAAGAAGGGCTTCTGGTATGCCTGCTTTATAAACATAGGAAGCCAACTTTCACTGATGCAGACCTTAAATGGCTCAGAACCACAATACCTCAAGGACCGCCTCTTTCCATATGAACCTACCTGGACCCTGAGATCATCTTCTGAGGCCCTTCTCTGTGTGCCTCCTCCATGAGGGGTCTGGAGGGTGGCAACAGGTCTTTTCTGTAGTGGCTCCCCACTTGTGGAATGATCTCCCCAGGAAGCCTCACCTGACACCTTTTGGCACCAGGCAAAAACGCTCCTCTTCAACCCGGCCTTTGGCGGATGGACACCCAATGCCCACTTACTGTACACGTCAGCCTCGAAATCTTACTGACTTGGAGAGGATCTGCAAAGAAGAGTGGGACAAAATACCTCCTGAGATGTGTGCAAACCTGGTGGCCACCTACAAGAAACGTCTGACCTCTGTAATTGCCAACAAGGGTTTTGCCAGCAAGTACTAAGTCATCTTTTGCAAAGGGATCAAATACTTACTTCACTCATTATAATGCACATCAATCTCTGACTTTTGTCTTCTGGGTTTCTGGGGGGTTTCCTGTTGTTATTCTGTCTCTCACAGCTACAATAAACCTACCATTAAGATTATGAACTGGTCATTTCTTTGTCAGAGGGCAAACGGGCAAATTTAGCAGGGGATCAAATACTGTAAATGTGTTGTGGAAGGGGGGTGAATTATTGATTTGTTGTTGTTCGCGGGTGGCGCTGTGGGTTAAACCACAGAGCCTAGGACTTGCAGATCCGAAGGTCATGGTTCGAATCCCTGTGACGGGGTAAGCTCCTGTTGCTCACTCCCTGCTCCTGCCAACCTAGCAGTTCGAAAGCACTTCAAAATGCAAGTAGATAAATAGGTACCGCTCTGGTGGGAAGGTAAACGGCGTTTCCGTGTTCTGCTCTGGTTCGCCAGAAGCGGCTTAGTCATGTTGGCCACATGACCTGGAAGCTGTACGCCAGCTCCCTCGGCCAATAAAGCGAGATGAGCGCCACAACCCCAGAGTCGGTCATGACTGGACCTAATGGACCTTTACCTTTACCTATATTGCAATTTTATTATGTGAACTGCCCTGAGACCTGCAAAAGAAGGGCAGCACACATATTTAATAAATAAAAATAAAAATAATTGGTCTAACTGGTTCAGTTAAACACCATTTAAAATAATCAACAGTAAAAGTTATTAAAGCTTGTCAACATCCACAGCTTGGAAGCACATGGCTTCCCTCCCCTGAGAATCCTGGGAACTATAGTTTAAGGCTCCTGGAAAGTAAAGCGCCATGGGGGGCAAACGGTTCGCAGAAATTGTGCAGGGAAGTCTTGTGCTTTAAAGGCATGTTGTGGAAAAGAGTTTATTCCGTAGTTTTCCCAGGTTAACACTTAACGATCATGTGTCGCTTATTAACAAGAGTGCTTCTCCCTTTGTCCCTGTGATGCTGCAGAGGTTGCCAAGTCTGGCTGAAGGTGCCTCCTGAGATGCATTCCTTTGAAAATTCTTCTGCCTGAAGATGTCTGTGCTGACCAAAGAGCCATCTGGGGGCACATCTGCTCAGTGTATCATAAAGGCACCTCTGGCCTAGTGTACCTTGTTTGTTCCTGTTCTCCACCTGTGACCCACTGAATAGCCTTGATCACTCTGGCTCATATTGTGTGGGGAGAAAACTTGATATAGATCGATATCCCATGTGGGATAATTAATAAAAGAACTGGCTGGATCCCTATATCCAAAACATGGGGCTAAACACACTCTCCTGCAAGAGAGAGCCCCCAGCAGAGTTCAAAATCACAGAATCATGCAGCACAGTGAAGTGTGAGAAACACAGGCTGCTAGACCTTATAAATATCCCATTTAATCCGCTTACAACGCTTCACCTCTCTACCCCTCTCACAATGAACAGACCACACCATTAGAAAGTTTAAATGCTTTACTTACAAAACCCAAAGGTCAAATACATGTGTTATTCCACGCAGCAGCAGTAAGAACACAGGTAAAATCTTGTGTTTACAAAATATAGAAAAATATTTCTGAGCACACGGTCTGGGCTTGAAGCAGTCGATCAGAAATCCTTGCACTGATGGAACGAGGGAGCTTGGTACCACCCAGCAGGGCCACCTGGATACTCAGCTACTTCTCATGTCTCAGACTCTCACAGCAATGCCCATGATCATCCTTCCCCCTGTAGCAAAACACTGTTGTGGGCAGTGGCTGTCTGCTCCATCCCATGCACCCGGGATCTGATCCCTCAAGACGAAAGTGCTCATGAGTGCTGGTCCAGCAGTGGTTGGGAGTGCCTGGACTTTGCCTGCGTCCCAGACATTCAATACCCACAGCCCCTCGTGCATTTCGAACTACGCTTCTAAACCAGGGGGAGGTAGGGGCGGGTTCCCACTTTGCACATTCCACAGGAAGCATGTACAGTGGTACCTCAGGTTACATACGCTTCAGATTACATACGCTTCAGGTTACAGACTCGGCTAACCCAGAAATAGTGCTTCAGGTTAAGAACTTTGCTTCAGGATAAGAACAGAAATCATGTTCCAGCGGCGCGGCGGCAGCAGGAGGCCCCATTAGCTAAAGCGGTGCTTCAGGTTAAGAACAGTTTCAGGTTAAGTACGGACTTCCAGAACGAATTAAGTACTTAACCCGAGGTACCACTGTACGAGGAACCAGCTTGCATGACTCAGGCTTCCTCGGTTATTGCTTCTTCAAGGTAGCCAAAAGCATTAATAAGTAAAGTTGTTGAAGGATCTTGCCACAACACAGCCAAAGATTAGGTTTCTTTTCTCTTCTTGAATGGAATGTGTGTGTCACCCTTCTGCAGAGGCCACGCGGATCTTCTCAGTATCAATGGCTAAATGAAACCTTCATGTATATAGTGTTACTGAAGCTGCTAAGTAGGCAAATATTAGGCGCTCTTCTGCATTTACCTATGTATTTCCACTGATACATGCAAGCTCTGTGCATTTGGAGTTAGACATGTGCTTCTTCTATGTATTCCTCTCCAAGAGCCAGTTTGTCCTGTTCTGGGCATTAAGCTGTACTCTGTTTCAAGTGTCATGATCCTGAAACGAAATATATCCTGACCAACCTATAGCCACTTGCAGAATCAGTTCTGAAAGGCTGCAGAATTCTGAAATGTTGCAGAATCCATTCTGAAAGCGTTGAATGAAAATTATTGCACCCTCAACTTCATTTGGGTTTCTAGCTGCATTAGGAAGAAGAAGAAGAAGAAGAAGAAGAAGAAGAAGAAGAAGAAGAGGAGAGAGGAGGAGGAGGAGTAGTTTGGATTTGATATCCCGCTTTATCACTACCCTAAGGAGTCTCAAAGCGGCTAACATTCTCCTTTCTCCTTCCTCCCCCACAACAAACACTCTGTG